CTCTTTCCCAACTGAGTCTTTGCAACTCACGCATGCTGCCACAAGGGGAGGCACCATCAGGGATATGTGGTTCCTCTGGGAATCAAACCCAGGACCTCCTGCGTGTAAGGCAGATGTGAAAGCCAGGCTTGCTAACCGCTACACTACTAAACAACAAAAAACAAATTGAAATTATGTACTTAGGAATATCACACCTTTGAAAATGCAGTTGTTAGTATATTATTTTTTGTTCTTTAAAAAAATCTATTGACATGGATTTTAGTTTATTGCAGTTGGCATCAGGGAAACTGTGGATTAATAGTAATTGCAATTAATCACAATTACAAGTGATTCATCTAAACAAAGTCATGCTGGACGTTGAGATGGTTTTTGAAGCTGAAAATCTGTGAAAAAGAAAAAAGTAAAAGTGTGAATGACCCTCGTGGTCAGAGCTGTTTCCTTTAGAATGATTCATAAGGGGTCAAATCAAATTTGCTCTAAGATAAATATTTAGTCAAATATGCATTTTTTATACAATTTAAGAGAATTTACAGTTTTCTTGTATTTTATTTTGTTGAAATTATTTTTGCGTAATAGAGGTCCAAAGAACATCACGTAAAGTTGTGAGACTATTGTAAATATATAATCTTCAAGCTGCGACTCCATGTCTAACACTGGAAGGTACTAGTAATGGAAATTTGACCTGTAATTTTACCCTGTAATAAATGCCCCCGTCAGACTCGGCGTTTTCCTCTTCACAGTGTTTACTTGTTTGTGCTCTTGAATCCTACGGCCTATGGTCTGCTGTGACGGCTCCTGAAGTGAGCTGTACCCTATAGTTAAGCCCATTTAATAAGGAATGTTTTCCCCCCAAAATGACTTTGGTTTTTTAACCACTTCTTTTATTATGTGGAAGGCACCAGAACACGTATAAGAACAATGGTTAAGACCTTCAAAACGACTGTAAAAGGGACTTTAACTGCCCTTTAAAAAACGGTTATTGTGCTGTGATTCTATAAATGGGACGGTTTTATTTGCTTTATCGGAAAAAATTTAAAAAATACCAGGGCGCAGATTGGGTGAAAACACGTCCGAGTTTCCCAGCACGGGCTGAGTGAGGTTTAGTCTACTGTAAGTTCTGTACTTTTTACTGCCGTGCCAACTGTAAACAGTGACAAGCCGTGGAGATTGTTAGTCGAGTTGTGAGTTGAAAGAGAACTTTTGTGTTCTTTGCATGAAGCAGGATCAGAGTATTTACAGTTCTCTCTCAATGGGTCTGTTGTAAAGGCTGCTGCATCTGGATAATGTCAAATAGAAACAACAAACTTTCTAATCCACAGAGGAAAAACACAGGGGGAGGCCGTGCAGTACATGGAATCACAGCCACTAATTGTTTTCAGTGATCAGCTTCGGTACAACGTTCCT